GGTATTGTCTATTGTTCGTCAGCTAATATTGTAAATTAAAATTAGCAAGACATTCAGTCTTCCTCAGAACTTTAGGTCATGAAATAAAACATATTTCAAAATCATTTGTGTTATGCAAAGTTTTATGAATTCAGATCAAACATAAAACTATCTTCGCAAATAAATAAAAGTTGTAATCAAAGAGCTGAAACTCTGTATTATTTGGAAAACTAGTAAAATAAATAACATAGTTTTATTTCTGAGGAAAATAAAAATGTAATGATAGTATAGACTGGCATATTTGGCCTATTTCGAAAATAGTTATGATAAATCATGATTAAAAATAGAAAGAAAAACTTTTCTTATTGAATTATTCTTTATTATGAAATGCAAATAATACTGCTTTCTAAAAATATCAAATAGTCCAACATGTTCATTTTATTGAGTTATAACGCGATAAATAATATTGATTTATTCTAATAAAAACTAAAAATTTACCACTTAAAAGTATTTAAGTCCTAGTAAATTAGCTAAATTGAAAATATTGGACTTCACTTAAGAAATATTTGAACTATTTATTATTGTTTTCTCTCAATACGCATTCGCTCCCTTCCCAATGAAGTATAGTTCGTTCACCAGGAGTTGAGACTTGGCTCCACCTCCTCGGACGCAGAGTTCATTTCAGCACGGGGGAGTAAGAAGAAAAACATCTCCGTTGTTGAAATTGAGACAACCCTTAATTTGCGCCAAACACAGAAAGTGAATTCTTTTTCACTTACTTTGCTTTATCATCTGCTAATATACCTTTTGTTACACTAGCTAATTAAATATAGTTTAAATTTAAAAACTGTTGTTCTCCCAGCGAAATGTCTCATAAAGGACAAACTATTCACTCAAAAGAAAGAAATATCATAAAAAATNTTTTAGCATTAAAATGAAGTTTAATCGAAACATTCAACCAATTTTTCCTAATTTCATGACTACCATATTCAACATATTTTCAAAACTATTGTTTACCATGTTAACAGCTGCATAAATACTTGAAACTTTGAAAATAATCTTTTGTTAGTATAAGAATTAATGTCCGATGGCCCATTGACTTGAAAAAATATTCTATACATATGAAATTGACAGTGGACGGGGGTACCCGCTGGGCGGGGCTACCCGACTCTCCCCTAAGTCCTAGTAAATTAGCTAAATTAAAAATATTGGACTTCACTTAAGAAATATTTCAACTATTTATTATTGTTTTCTCTCAATACGCATTCGCTCCCTTCCCAATGAAGTAACCCATGTTCATTGTTCTGCTCCTTTCTCGCTTCGACCAAAATGCTACTGTCGGTTGCCAGTTAAGAAGAAACATTATGGTATAAGATTTAAGTAATCATCCGCGATTGCATATAGTTCTGTTTTAATTCGTTATCAAGTGCTACAAATTTGTTTTCAAAGCAATATAAAAGCTCTTGAAAGTTAAACACGAATTTAATTCGTGCTATCATTTACGATATATACAGGGTGATTCTAAAAAGATGAAGCAAAATTTTAGGAAGTGATAGTACACACCCAAGCAAACAATTTTTATCAAAGAATGGATGGTCGAAAACAAAACCCAAAACCGCTAGAGGGCGTCACAGTTTATGTTCTTATATGAGGCAAAAACACATAATGAACGATGAAGTTAAGTTATAAAGGCAAATTTAATGGCATGTGATTACAATAAATGTTCAAAACAGTGACCGGCAGCGGCTATACATGCAGTACAACGGCAAAGAAAAGATAGGCGAACATTCTGAAACACACCAGGCAAATCATGAACTTTCCCTGCAGCGGTCGAAAGCTTGGCGACAAATAACGCAGCGCAGTAACTCGCTAAATGGAGCTTTCATGTTTGCATCAAACAACTTTCCAAATGCGCCAGCACCTTTGCGTTTTGTTTTCGACCATGCATTCTTTGATAAAAATTGTTTGCTTGGGTGTGTACTATCACTTCCTAAAATTTAGCTCATCTTTTTAGAATCACCCTGTATAATAAAAATATTAAAAAGCGATTATAGTTCCGTAGTCTTACTGGAATCCTTGACATGGTGACATATTTCAATAAATAAGAGGAACATTTGTTCTAGGAAACGAAACGAATGTATGACGTACGAATGTAGCTTTTAATTTGATTGGACCACTAAAATGGCTCGTCCTATGCTGGTCAAAATCAAATGCGAGATAAAGAATTTTTTTCTTGTTTTGCTGTAGAAGGAAATCATCTGCCAGAACAATATTTATTATTCTTTCATCAGTTTCTTTAAATACGAATAGAAAAACGTGTATTTTTCACGATTTTCAAACATCATTTTCATTAATTCTTATTGCTTGTTAATAGTTTATGGTTGTTAATAAGATAGCAAGCAAAAAGGAGGCTGTGCAACATCGTTTCAAGAGTTAACGATGTTGACATACAATCGTGCTGGGAGTTTGGCATCCATTTAGTGTGCACTTAAATGCAAACACGTTCTCTCCATAGGGATAATGATTTTTTCTTAACTTGCAACATAATATAGCGTAGAATGTCTTAAATGATATAATCCTCTTGCCGTTGGGGTAAATTTGGGAGACTTCCGTGAGATTTTTATGATATAAAGCAAATGCATGTTAGTTCTGTCAAAAAGTCATCCACGAAGGCTTGTGTGTCCCAATGCTTGATCCATTAATCTTTTGACTACGTTCAAAATTACAAGGATACAGAGCTGAACGTTGATAGTCATAAATTTAAAATTTGTTCGGCTGTACATTAAACACGTTTATAAAATATGAGAAATAAAAAAAATAACTTTTTCCACACAAACATACGTCGCATGTATGATCAGATTCAGTCTTGAATCCAATGATTCATTAAACAATGTTGATTCAGAAAAAGAGGACAAATCTTATAGCGGATAGTGATTCAGCATAAAATTTCTACTTCCGATTTGACTCAGGGTAAAATTAAATAAAAGGGGTTTTTATATTTTATAAATCTCTAAATTAAAACAAACTAAAAAATAAAATGCGCAGGTTTTGTTTCATTGATGATTTTCGATGCAATTATATTCATGTATTTTTTAATGGAAAATAGAAAAAGAACCTTCTTTTACACTACTCACTTTCATTAAACTTAAAATAAAATTTTTTAAGTTATTCTAATTAATTTAAGAATAAGGAAGAAAAATTAGTGTAATTTTACTGTGCATTTAATTTTCAAAACAAAAATTTCATTAATTAAATGAATTAAATAATTTTAATCTCCAGAAAAATTCATTTTTCCGCACTGTATGCTTCGTTTTTTAAAATTCCTCATAGAAAATAAAGTATTTTCCGCTAGGAATGTTTCCTAAATGCGTACTGCACAACAAATGCCATTGAGTTCCCTCTGAACTTTTTACATACCATAAAATGTAGTTACAAGGAAGCAACCTGAAAGTGGGTGAATTATCGATTACTTTATAATGTTTTTATAATTTTTTTGCTATTTGTATATTAGAATCATAATCATCAACTTATAGTTTGTAAGGTACATAATCAATAACTTTTTGAAACATTTGTTAGACACGCTACTATGCAATTAGTTATTAATAGTATAAAGGCTTTAGCTATTTTCCTCGATGATTTCTAACTAATAGTCTTTTTTTACATTGAGGCTCATAATTATGAGCCCTTTGATCATTTTTATAACTTTATTAACAATTTTATATAGCCGTTATATCAATTTCATTTTGCTTAATTTAACTTATTCATGACGAAAGTTGCAAACGCGCAATTATCTCTGAGGCCGAGAATCTCTTTCACGAGCACCTTTTAAGGATCAGAGTTTTTTTTTTTGTGAAATCTCAGTGGGTTTTTTCTCATGAAATTAGTGGAATTATGTTCTGCAAAGAGAAGTACACTAAGAATATGCAATCAGACTCTTCATGTTTCTCAAATCCCTCGGACATGCAAAATCATACTGTATAAAAAATTATTACTTTCAAAACGTTTTAGAACACTGGTATAAATGAGAAAGCGCTATGCCATGTAGACGTTTCCTGCTAATACACATATGTGACAGTCAGCGAGAAAAGAAAAGTTAATGATGTATTCTATGTGATAAGTTTAAACTTTTTTTTATGATTTTGCCGTAGATTGGTTAATTATGATCATTATTTAATTTTTAACGAAACACTATAACCCAGTACTCATAACAAGGACTGTTCAGGTAGTCTCATAACAACAATTTATGGACAATGTATAGAATATTTGTGAAAAATATGACATTTATTAACATTTAAGTTGAAATAGTTTTGTATGAATAGTTCAAAAAAAAATTTCGTTCAAAATTTTTTTCATAATATATTTAAAAAATAAAGTATAATTAGATATTTTAATGTTTCTTTACACATCAAAAATAAGGAAGTTAAAGAAATCCTATCATTAATGTAACGAAGCTTAAAATTATAGTTTAATGCAAAATCCAGGATATGTGATATATTAATCACCAAGCTATGGAGAAGTGTCTATGAGTAATGGCTGATTTGGTAGGATTAACAAGATTGAAAGAATCTGTATAATATGCACCGTAAGCAAAAATGGTTTGAAAGAACAAAAATAGGCTAGAATTTGTAAGCCCAAAAATATGTACATTTCACAGAAGTAAAAAAATACGACTTTCTTACTGCTACTTATTTATTAAAAAGAGACTAAAAATAAATCGGTCGTCATTTGATAAAGTAACCCTTCTTCTTGAAAGTTTAAGTAAATGAGGAAATAAATAAAAAAAGAAGTAAAAAAGGAGCATCAGCAAAAATAAAACTTGAAAGAAATTGAATTGACTGACTTTTGATACCCTACCTGACTCTCTTTCCCATTTACCTACAATTTCTCATTTCTCCTCATCTGAGCCGGAACGTCCGGTCAAAATTGCCTCGTTTCTTCCCGGATCGATTCAGTGCGCAGCATCCCAAAACTCACGACCCCCTCCGTACCGATCCGCCCCTTCCTGGATATCTCACACACGTGGAAATTCAAAAGCAGTCGGCAGATTCCGGCACATGCGTTCCGGAATCGGATCGTTGCGTTGATGGTTCGTTATCCGGGAGCGAATTTGGAACGAGATGTTGCACATTTTATAATTTTCGCATTGACCAAATGATAGTTAATTTTAATTTGTAATAAGGAGAAAGAAATTTTTTTTTCTGAGAGTTGAATAGATAATAACTTCGATGTTTTTTCCAAGTTTCTTTCCTGTCGTATCGTGCTGGCTGGTCGTGGCCTTAAATTTCAAAAGTAAGTTTTTCTTTTAATATTTTAAAGTATTGACTATAGCTTATTCAGTTAGAAATTAGATTTCCTATAATGAGGAATTTTGTTTTTACAAATATAAATATTTCTGGAAAAACTTTGAACAAGTTAGCCGTCGGTATTAAAACTGGAAAATTTTTTGAAATGTTTTAAAATTATTTTAATTTTCGACTGTTAAGACTGTTAAATTAACATAACGGGGTATTTACACGCATGTCGAACAAAACATAGAATTAATTATATCACTTTTAGCAACCGAATTTGTTAACTTTATACAAATTGAGAGCAAAATTTTTTTCCTTCAATTTATTAATAACTATAAAATAGAAAATTTTAAACATAATAATTATCTAAGAATTTCGTGTCAGTTACATCGTTAACTTTTTGGACAGTTATGACTGTTCAGCTAACAAGCTAAATGCAGAAAAATATTGAAGTCTTTGCTATGCATGAGGCAAGCAAAAAGTGAAATTAGTTGAATCCTTTTTAACAATTGAATTTGATAACTTTATGCTTAACTTTTTAACTTAACTATTATCATACTTAAAATATAAAATTGTAATTTAAAATACAATAAATTAAAATACAATTATGTCTCTGGAATAATTTTGAACAATGTACGAGACTTCTAGCTTAAACCTAAAAAATTCGGAAAATATCATAAAATGATTTCAATTTTAGACTATTAAGACTGTTCAACTATCTGAACGCAAAAAAATATTGAAGTATTCACTTTGCGTCAGTCTAACAAAAAATAAAATTAATTACTTCAGTTATAACCTTTGAATTTGTTAACTTAATAAAATTTGATGGAGAAAAAATTTACTTTTGAACTTATTAATAAACATAAAATAGAAAATTATGACTGAAAATACAATAATTTTAAATACAATAATAATTCTCAAAGAATTTCTCGCCAGTTATATTAAAAGTTAAAGTTAAGTTTAAGTTGCTGTTAAGTGTGTCTAAAAATTTGTCTAAGGGAGTTAACTTTATTAGAATTGCTGTCTCTTATTTTTAAAGTAAAGATAATAATTATTTTTCTGTTTTTGTACACAATGTTTAAGTTTTTTTTAAACATGTTACTGATGCATTAAAAATATAATTTGTATAATTTAATGAGAAATTAAATCTGTTTTAAATCATATTCCTTTTCCACAGTTCACGTACTATTTTAAACTGTGGAAAATTATTCAAATTTCTTAATCTTTATTTTAAATTTATTTGTCTATTTAAAAATAAACCACATTAAGACGAATGTTTTATAACTGTAATAGAAATCATTAAAACATGTTAGGATGGATAATGGAAACTCTATTCAAAACATTATTCAACCTTAAATAGTAAGCAGAAATGCAAATAATATTATATTTGTGTATCATATAATATTATTTATACAATAATATTATATTTGTGTAATAATTAAATTTTGCAGTAGTATTAATTACTACAATAAAAAATAAACTGTAGCTAAATTTACATATCAAAAAACTAAATGCTGTATTTTTATTTGCGTGAAATATGTGAAGTCTAAAAGTTGGTATATATATATTACACAAACGCAAAATTTAACAGTTATTTCAGAAGAATGAAGACAAGTTCTTATACAAAGTTAAAAGTTAAAATACTGTTTTTTACGCTCGTTTGTGCAATGCCATTACAACTTAAGTGCAATGTCATTTAAGTTGTTGCACTAATACTTCTTGTTTAGGCTCATAATAGAAGGAGCTACTAAAGATTGCAAGTTGTGGTATTTATTTTACTTTATCGTTCTGTATTGTGACTTTTGTGTGTGAGAATATAAAGTTTAATTAGACTTGATTAAGTTTGATAATGCTTATCCATAATTATTTGCACGTTTTTTCAAAATTTGCTTTCTAAGAAAACAAAAAAAATTAATTCGGATCAATTTTCAGGCAGAAGGAAATAAATCCATGCCAAAGTAATGTATCAAATAATATCTTAGTCGCGTTAGAAGTTTTAAATTGAATTAATAATAATTTGTCAGTTTTTAAAAAAGCGTTTTATTTTTATATCAACATTAACTAGCATGTCTCATAGTTTCATTAATTTGCGATGACTCATTGGCTTAAAGTTTAAAAGAAATTTTAGGCAGATTAAGTTTTAGAAGCACGGAGATTTTAAATCCGATAACAAGATTATTTCAATCAAGTCCGTTAAAGAGGAATTTTTTTAGTCCGAGTACGCTTAAAATGCTTAAGATTAATTAGATACAATAAAAATTGCAAAGATATGAGTCTAACTAAGGGGTATAATATTCAAATTACTTTTTATTTTTTTAATGAAAATTATGTTTTTTTAATGAACGCTTCTTAATGTTTTGCATTTAATATTTTTTTTACATTTTTTGTACTGTACTTTTAGTGTTGAGCCCACTTCATCTCAAACGTCGACATTACGTCCATGTAAATTTGCTCTGATTAACAACGTTTCTTATCTATAGTAAAATTAATATGTGACTGGCTCTAATTAATTGCTCAAGCTAGATTTATATACTCTATAACAAAAAAATTGACGCACCAAGAAGCAATCATCCGATTGCTTTGAAATTTCGTATGCATGAATGTTTTGAACAGATCAGGCTGGAATGATACCGACTGGGGACGTATAGTCTTTAGCGACGAATCCCGCTTCCAACTGTGTCCTGACGATCATCGAAGACATGTTAGGAGACGCACAGGGCAGAGGGGGGGGATCCTGCTTTCACTATTGCACGCCACACCGGCCCTCAACAAGGCATTATGGTCTGGGATGCCATTTTCTTTGATAGCCGGACCCCTTTGGTCGTCATTAGAGGTACACTTCCTGCACAGTGGTACGTCGACGACATCCTAACACCTGTTTTGCTACCGTTTCTTTTGCAGCGTCCTGGGCTATGTTTTCAGCTGGACAATGCCAGACCACATACGGCACGTGTTGCTATGAGCTGTCTGCAAGCTTATCAAACTCTTCCTTGGCCTGCCAGATCACCAGATCTCTCTCCCATCGAGCATGCCTGGGATATGATGGAAAGGCGATTGCATCTGGCACGGAATATTGATGACCTCTTTCGATAATTGGATCGAATTTGGCAGGAAATACCACAAGAGACCATAGGAAGCTTTATCGGTCTATGCCACGCCGTGTGGCAGCTTGTATCCAGGCTAAAGGCGGGTCAACACCTTATTGAACTTGCTACTGTAACTCTGCAATAAATTATTCAATTGTACTGAAATTTTAATAATTTATTATTTTGCACATTGTCTTCCTATCCACCAATTTTCGTTTCAATCGGACAATTCCTTNCAACACTTTATTGAACTTGTTACTGTAACTCTGCAATAAATTATTCAATTGTTCTGAAATTTTAATAATTTATTATTTTGTACATTGTCTTCCTATCCACCCATTTTCGTTTCAATCGGACAATTCCTTCTTGGTGCGTCGATTTTTTTGTTATGGAGTGTATTTACACAGGTTAATTTGACGAACTAATATTAAAAATTCAATTTTTTAAAATTTTATTTCAAGACGTTACAACCATGCCTTGAATCTCAGAGTTCTGGAAAAATCATACATACTGAGAAATCTGTCAGATTTAGGAACGTGTCTACACCATTAAGCACTTAAAATTGTTAAGAAAATAAAACAATCTTTACTTTTACGAAGAATCACACATATGAGAATTTTCTTCTCGTATCATTTCAGAAATTTGTTATCGTTAAATCGAAAAATTTCAGTTTTGAAAATTGTTGATAGAAAAACAGAAACTTATAATGCCTACCTTTTTATGCTTATTACTTGTAACATTCTTTCTAATATTGTCTACACAGCAAAAAATTCCGGATCAAATTACGATATGAAGAACCGGCACTTTGAGTACATCATCCGTAAAGTCTATTTGACTATAAATTCCACTTTTACCGTATAATAATATACAATAATTTTTACATTAGTATTTATTTTATGAGAGTAATATAGTGATATTACGGTAATTGTTACAGTAAAAAGAACGGTATAACATGTTTTTTTTTTTTGTTTTTCCGTAACATGTTTCGGTAAAAGTGGATTTTACAGTAAAAAGTGCCAACACCCTAAGTGTTGGTGTTTCTCACAGTAATTTGATCCGGAATTTTTTACAGTGTATGGTATATACTAATGATATAAAATATCAGAAACTATTTAAATGCATAAACAACAGCATCTCAAAATATTTAACACCAGTTTGCTGCTCCATAACTGTAAAACATGAAACTTTGAAAAGTCCACATAGTAATCATTTGCTTATTATTATATTTTTAAGGATAGATTCTTAAAAACAAATTTAGATGTTTTATACGTTGATAGACATGTATGTTCGATTATAATAGCTTTGAGGTTGCAATAAATTTCTAAAATGTATAAAAAGATAGGGATCAATGCCGTAAATAATGTGTCTTGGGCGAGAGATTCTCAAAATGCATATTAAGGGTGATCTTTAAGGAAAATCCTTACTCTCATAGGCAGCAAGACAGGTCTGATTGAAGAAGGAAACATAGAGGAACTGTAAGATGATCATTAAAAATACCTCCAAGTTTCCTCCTACTATTAAACCTTTTTTCATGTTTATTACATTCACTATAATTTTCCGGATTTCGATAGCATTTGCTTGATTTTTCCTCTGTTTAGTATTAATTTAAGATCTTAAATGTGTATACTTTTTGTTATCACTTTTCAAAAGTATTCTCAAAATATACATTGAGAATGATCTTTACGAAATACCCCGTAATTTCGAACTATAAATTAACTTTGAAGAAGTAAGTAGTGCTCATTTCGTTATCATTTTTCTATAATATGCTTGTAGGTACACAAAATTTGGGACAATATAAAATAATTTACCCAAGGAATTTATAGAAACTTAATTTTCCATTTGTAATTTTTACGTAGATAATTGTATCCTCGTTTAATTTTCAGTTTTCAGTAATTTCACTTCTAAAAATTCAATG